TGTGTAAACTTTCAGCAAAAACTGAATATTATTATTAAAAAAAAAACCTTCAACAAGCATCACACATAATGAGGAAATTTGGGGTGGGTTCCCTTTAAGGTTGGGGACAACCAAGGAAGCCCACTATCATTGGTATGGTTCAACATAGGACTGAATGCCCTGACAAATGAACTAGGAAAAAAGAAATAATAAGATATAAAAGAGAAAATATAAAATATCTTTATTTTCTTAGGACATAATAATTCACGTTGAAAATTAAGAAGAATCCGCCCCTTCTATTGTGAGAATACTACTCTAAATCAGTAACTGCTAATCCTGGGTTCCTGAGGCCACCAAGAATTACCTGATTTTGATTAAAATAGTTCCTTAACAAAATATGTTATCTAATGAAAGCTAAGCTGTGGTGAATGAGGCATTCTCATGCAGCTCGTTGTTGTTAGGTGCTCTCCAGCCATCCCCAGCTCCCAGCAACCTTGTGTGACCTATGCCACCTGCATGATCTTTGGTAGGTTTCAGCTCACTGTTTTGGCCGTTGTGTCAATCCACCTCACTGAAGGTTTCCCTTGTTTCCAGGGACCCTCTATTTTACCAACCATGATCTCCTTTTCTAGCAACTGGTTTTTCCTGATGATGGCTCCAAAATAAGCAAGTCAAAGTCTCTCCGTCTTGACCTCTAAGGAGAATTCTGGTTGTCATAGCTGACCGATTAGAACAAACCTTTCAAAAAGCAATTTGGCAATACTATCAAGCTTGTATGTTTGTATTCTTTGACCTGGGGATTCTCTTTCTGGGAACCTGTATTATTGTGGAGGGTGGGGAGTGGGATTCTAAGTAGTGAAACATGTGCACAAAGGATATTATCACAACAGTATGGCAGTAAAACATACCAAAAACAACCTAAGAACAGGAAAAGGGTTGCATAAGTTATGGTGCATCCACTAGATGAATGGTTCTCTTTATAAGGAGTCTGTCAAAACATTAATGTAGAAGCATATATACAATCTTATCAAATGATGCTTTTAGAAAACATGTCATCTTCACAATTCAAAAGGTCTGGAAGGTAATCTACCAAATTTTGGTAGTGGCAGTTTTCTAGTGGCTGGGATTTGGAGTATTTTTTTCTTTCTTTTTACTGATGTCATTTTCAAGTTCATTATAAAGACTATAGGATATAATTTTTTTAATGGGCAGAAAAACTAATAATAAATCATGTTTTATAAGAAATTAAACAAACATAGGGATGTCATAGGGAATTTTTATGGTTTGGGGAATGGCCAAGAATGGAATAATTAAGGACAAAGATACAATAAATTGCCTCGATTAAAAAAAAAAAAAAAAAAAAAACCTTGGGGCTGCCTCGTGAGGAGTCTGTTTTTCCGACTCTCCCTGTGAGCTTGCTCTCCCTCCCCAGGATTTCATTAGGCCTAGAGAACAGGGACTGAGTTACTTTTCTCAGATGCTAGGGAGCTCTGGTGGCATAGTGCCTAAGGCATTTGACCACTAACCAGAAGGCTGGCAGTTCAAACCCACAAGCTACTCCTTGGAAGGAAGCTTGGGCAATCTACTTCTGTAGTGATACTGTCTCGGAAACCCAAGGAGGGGTCGCTATGAGTCGGGTCCAACTCCACAGCAGTGAGTTTGGTTTTTTGTTGTTGTTGTTTTGTTTAGTATACCCACAAAGGAGCTTTGGTGGTGTAGTGGATAAGGCACTTAACTCCTAACCAGAAGGTCAGTGGTTCAAACCTACCAGCTGCTCCACAGAAGGACGATGGGGTGATCTACTTCCCTAAAGATTCACAGCCTCAGAAACCGATAGGGGTCACTATGAGTCGGAAATGACTCTATAGCAGGGAGTTTGGTTTTTTTGGTTTAGTACATGCACAAGAGCCTCTGGGTGGTGGAAATAGTTGAGCGCTCCCTGACTAGCTGAAAGGGTGGCAGTCCAAATACACCCAGGGACGCCTTGGAAGATAGGCCTTGTGATCCACTTCTGACACAGCCTTTCTGAACCCTGTGAGCAATTCTACTCTGCACACAAGGGGTGGTCATGAGTCAGTCGGAATTGACTCGACGGCGGCAACCAACAAGAAGTACAGTCACAACTATGCTTTCGTTCTCATTTAGTGCCATGATGGCTATTCAGAAAAGTGAATGAAATAAAAAAAAAAGAGAAATGTTTATTATTTATTAGGGTGCTCTGATGGCATAGTACCTAAGGCATTTGACTGCTAACCAGAAGGCTGGCCATTCAAACCCACCAGCCACTCCTCAGAAGGAAGATGGGGCAATCTACTTCCGTAGTGATACCGCCTCGGAAACCCGGGGTGGGGGGGGGCGCGCGATGAGTGGATTCGACTGGTGGCAGTGAGTTTGTTTTATTGGTGTAATCATTTATTAAGCTTTTCCCACATGCAAGCAATGCTTTGGTGCTTCTTATGCATCTATCTCGCCTTTCCCAGCTTGCAAAATCTCTACTGAAAGGAGTTTTTTCTCCCCCCACCCCTGCCCAGGCCTGTTCTTCTTTCTCCTACCCACACAGAGACTGCCTTTTGGGGATATGATTGATTTGGATGAAAGGAAAAATGGGCAGATCAGGCTACCCTTTGTTAGGGACAAAGCCTCTCTGGCTGCCTGAAGAGGTGACTAGAGAGGCATTGTCAGGTAGCTGCACTGACAAGGTTCTGGAAATGGCACCAGAAAATCCCACAAGCCTTCTCCTTGTGACGTGGCTTATTTGCTTTACAGGCTTCAAGCATATTTGCTGATGTCAGCAGCCATCAAAGTTTAAAATAATAATGATGAGGAGGAAAACAGCCCTTTTCTGCCAGGCAGTCCTGTCCTGCCAACTCCCGTGTTCTCTTTTGAGTTAATAAAGGCCCAAGAACCACCTCCCCTACCACCTTGGGTGGTTGGGGAGCACAGTGATTTAAAAACCACCCGGTCAGCCCACTGCCAGCATAAACCATTCAGACAAGTAGCATTTGTCACACTCTAATGAGGATTTTACCTCTGTCTCAGAAAGAAAGCTATCATTAGGCTTTGTGTTTATGGGATCAAATGATTGTCTGGGGACAGTGGGTCTCTTTCAGTCCCTTCCTCATTTTAATCATGCACAAGATCAAATACATAGATATTTTCTGCATCAGATTAAACTAAAAAAAACATAATTTTGCTAGCAAATGTCTTCTGAAAACATCAATTAAGAATATAGCTTTTTAATTCCCATTTCACTTGAAAACCTGGAAACATCCACACGAGTTGTAATATAGTGCCGTAGTAGTGGAGGTGGAGCTGTCTGTAAAAAAGGAGACAGCCCAGATAAATGGTGGTTTGAGGAAGTCGGGCAGGCTCCCACTGGCAAAAGGCAGAGAGTCTCCTCAAGGGAAGAGAGTTCTCTATGAAGCAAGACCTCTTAAGTTATCTTCACATGTACAACTGAAACTGGAGCCAGTCCCTTAACAGTTAGGCTGATACCAGGCTTCTGCACCAGGCTGGCACCACACACACACTCCATTGTTAAAACCTCCTAAGGACAGATTAGAGCCCACATTCCTCAGAAGTACTGAGCTCCAGAGGGAAATCAGCCAGCAGACTCCTTCCACCTTCCACCGGGGCAACAGCTAGCTACAACTGATAAATTCTCATTGAAATACCTGGAGAGATTACACTGAGTCCTTACCAGGGCTGTCTCCAGCTTTTGAGGTGTTAAACTTGCTTATCCTGGCATGTGGATAGGCTCGAGCCAGACAAGAGTAATTCAAGTCATTAGCTCAGTTTTATATGCTTTTATTGATGGCTCCATGCAATTGTTAATCAAATTATTCATTCAAGGTGTATGATGAGATTTTTCTTCCCCCCACCTCCGAGGCCTTATCTAGTAAACACTGGTATTTACACTATCTCAATTTAGGTTTGAACAAGTAACTAATATCTAACCAAAGATAGTGAAGTTAGATGTAGGTTTGAGCAAAATCTGTTGAGGTGGAGGTTGGTTTTAGTCACGTAGCTCAACTCAGAGCTGAACCCTAGCAAAGATCTTCACTTCAAGCCTCAAGTTTTAACCAGAGGACTCATTAGAAAGCTGTGCTTATGATAAATTCTGCAGCTTCCCTTTTATTTTTCCTGAAGTTAACAGTGATTGAGTGGACGAAGTGGTGCTATGAATTAAAAGCACAACACACCTGCCTTTCCAGGAACAAGTCCCAAGGGCCCAGATTAAATTTTAGCCAAGGATTATGCTTGCCAGGATTTTATATCTCAAAAGGGTTATGTTTGGCTTTTGTAATAATAAAAGACTATTTTGGAGAGAGAAAAAAAAAAAAGTATCCCGTTTTAACATACACTGTATTTACTAGGAGGAAATACAGGGTTATGCTTCGATACAGTTCAGCCTTTGAAAGAAAATAAAAGGCACATGGTTTAGCGGATGGGTAATTCCCGAATCTCCAGAAATGTAAACAGCCAGGATTTTGGAGCCTATGGGTTTTATCAAAGATGTAAGGAAGGCTGAGACCAACACCAGTGTGTCCTCTTTGGCTAGTTTTAACTCGTTTACAGTCACAATTAACATTCAAGGAATTTCCTTTTCATCGAAGTGTTTCTTTTAAAAGCACTTTATGCCACAAACTAAAGTTCTAGCTGCCCTCAGTCCCTCCCACACAGAAGAGGGGTGAGATCTCCATAACACTTTTTTTTCTGGTTTTGAAAATGGGCTCGGACCACGTCAATGTCCCTGGGGTGTTTCTTTTCCAACACAGGGGTTTCTCACCGCCTCCCTCGTTCCTTCCTCTAAAAGCGTTTGGATTGGACACGGGTCTCCTCGTCCCTCACCCTCCTCCACACACCCCGGAGCCAGAGGAGCACCCCCTTGGGGCTCTGCTGCCCGCAGGAGCTCTGGGCCCACTCGCAGCCAGCCGGGTTTCAAGTCCTTGAGGCGGCCAGGCCGGTGTTTTCTGCAGGAAAAGGAGAAACGTCAGTCCTCCTCTCCTGCCTTACTTCCCCTACACAAGGGATTCGCACACAGGCACCGAATCCGAGTCCTGACTGTGCATAGAACTCAGGCCGGTGTCGGAGTCCTCGTCGTTGCCAGGACAGCTCTTGGCCAGTCCGCGGGCCTGGTCCACCCACATCTCCGCACAGGCCTGAGGCCGGGGTTCCGGGGAGGATCCGCCAGAGCCGGGAGACCCATCGGGCGCCACTGTTAGCTCCAAAGTGTGCAAAGTCTGAAGAAGGCCCTGCAGCTCACGCTCCTTGCTGTCCCACTGCTGCCGGCTGTAATCCAAGTCTGATTTAATGGCCTCCAGGTCCGTGTTGAGCCGGAGCCCAATGTACAGGCTGGTGCTGAGCTGTGTCCTGACCCGCTCCTGCTCCAGCAGCAGCTCGCCGTCGGGGCCGCAGTCGGGCTCTGGGGGCTCCTCCCCCGCCGCCAGCTCCTCCTGGCGCCGCCGCATCCACCTCTGGTTCAACTCCTCCTGAATCTCGGCTGAGAGGCGCTCGAGCAACTCCTCCTGCTGGGCTCGCTGCTCCTGCAGCTGCAGCAAGTCGTCACAACGGTGGGCCAGCTCCTCCAGCGCCGCCGCCTGAGCCTCGCCGTCCAGGGGCGCCGCAGCCGCCGCCTCCCTCCCCGCCGCGGCCGCCTCCAGCTCCTCTCCCACCCTGGGCTCCTCGAACTCGATGTCTGCACCCACCAAGTAAGTGTCTTGCACATAGTTGACCCCGTGCCGCCGCATGCGGTCCAGGTGCACCTTGGCCTCATAGCGGTCAATCTCGCGGTCCAGCTCCCGGAGCCGCTGCACCTGCTGGCGGATGGTGTGGTCCTGGGAGAGCACCAGATGCACCAGCGTCTCCATGCGCTCCACTGACGCGTTCTCCTGGCCCCGCGGCGACGACGAGCAGGATGAGGCGGTAGAAGACGAAGTGGACGAACAGGGAGACGGCGGCTGCTGCTGGCGCCGCCGATTGAGCTTGGCCAGCTTGCGGAAGGCCTTACGCACCACGCGCCGCTGCTTCTCCTGGGTCATAGCCAGATTGGGCCGCGCCAGGGCCCCTCGGGCCGAGCAGGGGCGCTCGCGGCTGAGCACGACACGCGCCTCTGCGCTGCGGGGGCCCGCGTTGGGCAGCGACGCCTCGCTGCGCACCAGCACGAAGCGCACATTCTCTTGTTCGTCGCCCCAAGCAGCCCAGAGGCGCAAGATGCGCGTCTTGTTGGGCAGAATGCGCTCAAAGCCGCGCCACTTCTCCACGATGCAATAGCACTGCGGGGGTCCGCACAACATCCCCTGTGGGAACACCTCGTCGTCTTCCTCCTCCTCGTCGTCGGAGGGTTCCGGCAGCTCCCCCGGACCTGGGGAATCTCCAGCCGCCCCCCGCCGCCGGCCCCGCCGCTGCCTCCGACGCCGCCGGCAGCCGTCCTCCAGCAACACCCGCACCACGTCCGAGCAAGTGGTGCGGCGGGAGAGGCCGGACACCAGCTTCTCCTCCTGGCAGATCCACACCGAGATCTTCTTCTCCGAGGGCTCCATGGCGCAACCGGGACGCAGGTGGCGGGTCTAGAGCAGCCTGACCCCGTTGAGTGGCAGCTCTGGGATAGGAAAGGAGCCCGGGACCCCCGGCTCCAGAGGCACTGGCGATTCTCCCCGGCTGCTAACTAAAGGCAGCCGCTCTGCGGCCCGGACGGCGGGCGCTGCCGGCGCAGTGCGCCCAGGCTCGGACTCCAGCCACTCACTCAAGCTTTGCCCGCGGCACCCGGGGCCTCTGGGTTTTGCTCCTCCCTACGTGGCTCCTCCTCCTCCCGCCCTCAGCGCCCTAAGCCGCCGCCGCGAGCGCGGGAGGCGCGGCGCCCAGACCCGCCCCTCCTAGCCTTGCCGCGCCCTGTCCGTCCCGTCTGTCCCGTCAGTCCGTCAGCGCTGCCGGCGTCCAGCGTCGCAGCCCCTTCCGCGGACTCACTGCTCTGCTGAGCGCGGGTCTGGAGCCCACGCTTCGGCGGGGATCGGCTCTGCGATTCCCTGGTCCTACTGGCCCCTATCTTTGCATCTCGCGCTTGTTGGACGCTCCTTCACTTTAGTACTTTTCTGTTGTTGTTGTTGTTGTTATGTGCCTTCGAGTCAGATCCGACTCATAGCGACCCCTCGTTGGGTTTCCCAGGCAGTATCACTACGGAAGTAGATTGCCCCCATCTTCCTTCCGAGGAGTGGCTGGTGGGTTTGAACTGACACCCTTCTGGTTAGCAGTCAAGTGCCTTAGGCACTATGCTACCAGTACTTTTCTAGAGGCCGGTAAATGAAGGAGTTCCGGTGGCTCAGTGGATAAAGCATTTGGCTGCTAACAAAAAAGGGTCGTCGGGCTCCGTGAGAGAAAGATGAGGCAGAATGTGTTGGTAAGGATTTACAGCCTTGGAAACTCTATGGGGCAGTTCTGCTCTGTCCCATAAAGTCACTGTGAGTGATGGCAGTGGGTTTGGTTTTGGTTTGGTCCTTCAAGGCAGCGCAGTTTGGGGAGTGCCCCTTTTGCAAAGAGGAAAGTTTAAGGAGATGCTCTAACCTCATGGAATCTCTAGCTGGGAGCTGTAGAGTCTTCATGGTTGGAAAGCAGTATTTGCATAATTAAGGAGATGTACAAGATGAGGCAGTGTGCTCCACGGGCCAGTGTAGGTATGGAACGAATGGGCTAGACTTAGAGGGCGCATTCAGAAGGTGCTCCACAGTTCTTCTGGACACGTCTGTGGGTCTCCACAGAACCTCGGCTGTCCACAGTCTTCTTGTTAGGAAGACTGCTGGTACTAGTGAAAGTTTGAGGCTCATACTCAAGTCGCAAGCTCTTTTAGGCATCCCACCTCCATAAGATGGTGGTTTCTGGCATTTCCAAGGTGCAGATATAGTCCCGAGACATAAGAGCCCATTTTTATAGCACAAGAATTCCACGACCTAAAAAGAAACTAACTTGTTTCATCCTCAGCTGCCTTCCTTCCACACTGATGGAACGTCCCTGTGTGCAAGGCTTACGCTGAGCTTGTCACAAGTCTGTAGGGTGACTCCCTTGCTTTAAGACCTTGGATGGCTCCCTATTGCCTCCTGGGTAAAGCATTTTTATTCATTCACTCAGTAAATATTTATTGAGGACCTACTGTGCTCCAGGTACTGTGCTAGGAGTTTGATGATGAACAAATCACCAGTCCTAGCCTTCAAGGAGGAGCTCTGGTAGCATAGTGGCTAAGGCACTTGACTGCTAACCAGAAGGCTGGAGGTTCAAACCCACCAGCCACTCCTCAGAAGGAAGATGGGGCAATCTACTCCTGTAGTGATACTGCCTCGGAAACCCAAGGAGGGGTCGCTATGAGTCAGGTCCGACTCGAAGGCACATAACAACAAAAACTGTGCTCCAGGTACTGTGCTAGGAATTTGATGATGAACAAATCACCAGTCCTAGCCTTCAAGGAGGAGGTCTGGTAGCGTAGTGCCTAAGGCATTTGACTGCTAACCAGAAGGCTGGCGGTTCTAACCCACCAGCCACTCCTCGGAAGGAAGATGGGGCAATCTACTTCCTTAGTGATACTGCCTCGGAAACCCAAGGAGGGTTCTCTGATGAGTCGGATCTGACTCGAGGGCACATAACAACAACAACAACAACAACAGCCTTCAAGGAGCTTCCAGTCTCATGGAGCACACAGCTGAGTGAAGATTTCCGAGACTCTCTGCTCTGTGCTCTGATAAGGGAGAGCATACAGTGCTAGGGGAATGCCAGAGTATGTCCAGTTCAATCTGGGGGAGTCAAGAAAGGCTTCCCTAGCAGGTGGTATCTTAGGCAAGGCCTGAAAAACCATTCCACCACCACTAGTTGCTGTCAATTCCAATGCATGGTGATCAATTCCAATGCATGGTGACCTTGTGTGTCAGAATAGAACTGTGCTCCATAGAGTTTTCAGTAGCTCTGACCTTTCAAACCTAGATAACCCGGCCTTTCAAACCGCCAGCCTGTCATCCAGTAGCCAAGTGTGTACCCATTTATGCCACCACAGACTCTTTAAAAAAGACCCTTAGATTTTGTCAAAGATGGAGGGGAAGGGGCAAGGCAGCATTCTAGGCAGAAGGAGCAATATGTGCAAAGGCAAGGAATCAAAAGAGTGTGGCAGTAACTGGGGTTGTAAAGAATTTACGTGAGAAGAGTATCTAAAAAGAAGGCTGAGTGGATAAGCAGAACCAGGATCAGATCAGGCCTTTAATTCCATGTTTAAGTATCTGGACTTGTTTTAAAGGCATGAGGAATCACAGAGTGCAGACTCTAGGGCCAGACTCGCTGAGTAAGAATCTCAACCCTGCTACTTATCTTGAAGGATATCCACCAAACTGAAAACAATGAGGAGCTGTGCAGACATTTGCTGATGGAGACAGTCAGGGGAACTTCACTTCATCTGTAATGATTTTAGGGTCCCTGGGAAGCACAAATGGTTTGTGCTTGACTACTAACCTAAAGGTGATCACTCAAAACTGCCCAGCAGCCACACGGAAGAAAGGCCTAATGATCTTTTTCCATAAAGATTACAGTCAAGAAAACCCTGTGAATCAGTTCTACTTTGTAACACATAGGATCACCATGAGTCGGACTCAACTTGGTGGCAACGGGCTTGTTTCTTCTTACTATTATTTTGTAATGGTCTTACATCAAGTATTTAGTCACATGTTACTCACTTATGCAATTAAAAGCCAAACTAACCTCACTGTCATCAAGTTGATTGAGATTCCTAGCAACCCCCACTGTGTTTCTAAGGCTGTAAATCTTTGCAGAAGTAAATTGCCTCATCTTCTGCCCGTGGAGCAGCTGGTAGGTTTGAACTGCCGACCTTCTGGTTAACATCCAAATTTCTTACCCATTACACCACCAGAACTCTTTACAATGTATAATTTGACAAAGCAAAAGGGTTTAGGGTGGGATCCTTAAGTCCTGGTTCTCGCTGGTACCTTTCCTTCACCTGAATAGTTCTGCTTTCTGTGGAACCAGCACACTGCCCACCCCCCCACCCCCCAGTCTGGGTGGAATCTTAGTTCCCTATAACATGCAACAGTTTATATAACCCACTACTTTATCCCAAAGGGTTGTGAAGATCATGTGTTACTGACTGAGGAGGCATCTAGTTGTGGAGGTGGTCAAAGTATGGGCTTCACATTGCATCTTTCCTTCCTCTTCAGGTTGAGCTTATGAGAAGACAGCACAGTTCTCACAATGGCAGTAGAGCCCTTTGCTAATGTCCTCACATTGGATCCCAAGGATTCATTCAACCCTGTGGTATTTTAGTCATTTATCTTCCTAGCACCTGTGAGAGGTAGGACATAACTCCCTTGTCCATGAGAAAACTGAGGCAAGAGAGAGGCACCAAGGGGAAGGGATTGGCCTGCTTCCCAGCTCACAAAGCTCTGTGGAAGCTGGTATTTTGGTCTGGAATTTCTGCCTGTCCAATCTGTCAGTCACAGTTCACAGCAGCTGTGGAACACCCAAAACAGGAACTTCTGGCCTTAATTATACTGAGCCTTGTAGAAGTGTGACTGAGCCTTCCTACCTGCATCAGTTCCTCTAAATGATTAACCTCAGAAAAATAATCCAGCAAGTTGTGTTTATAGAAATGTGGTGCTTGCTCTCAGACACATTAGGGGAAATCTGGGACTAGTCACAGATATCCAAGGGAACCCATTCCTGACCAGACTGAGCTCCCTGCTGGGGCAGAGATCCTCAAAGACATGGTTTCTTAAAGAGAGGTCAACAGGTCACCTACCTGTGATGCTTATTAAAATGCAGATTCCTGGGCCCCACCCTTTTGTTGTTGGCTGCTGTGGAGTCAGCCCCTAACTTATGGTGACCCCCAACCCTTGGGGACCCCTGACTCATCATGGTTCCTGTGTCACAGAGTAGAATTGCTCCATAGAGTTTCGTTGGCCGTGATCTTTACCAAAGCAGATCACAAGAAATTTTTCTTCTGCACAGTTGCTGGATGGGTCTGAACCACCAACCTTTCAGTTAGTAGCTGCCTACCCTAGACCTAGTGCATCAGAATTTCTGGGGATGGAGCCCAGGAACCCACATTTAAAGCAGTCTTTCCTGGGGATTCTTATGTACACCGAAGTTTGATCTCGACTACACTGGAAGAAAAGAATTGGATACAGGAATGCCCTCAGTGGGGTGGCAATTTTTTGGTCATCTTGGCCCCATAAATGATATTTATCACATACATACCCAAGTGGATAGTGGCAGCACATGACAGGTGAGAAAGAGATGCCCCTGGGAAGAGGGAGAAAGGAAGAGACAGAGTGGAGGAGGGGGTGCCTCTTCATTATCTTTTTGTGATCTTCAATCGTTGGCTGAGACCTAGCTTACAAGATGATGATAACATAGAAATGTTTAGGCATGAGAGTCTAATGTAGCAGTGACTTCAGTCATCCCAAAGACATTCTGCAAGATACTTAACATTTTTAGTCTTTGTTCTAGCAAAACCAACCTCTTTCCTGATTCACAAATCATCCTGGGAATGTACAGC